ATGAGTTATTAGGTTGTCCGGAAAGGAATGCGCGTTCGAGCTTTAAAAATTTTTTATTATAAAAACGAAATTAAACAAGATAAATTCAAAAGACAATCTCCATTAGTATCAATGACTTGTTGTCAACATTTATGCAAAAAATGGATTCCTCTTCTGAAGAACTCGACCGGCTGCGACTCAAAGAAGTTGGACACCCAGAGTTGGACCTTTTTCGCGGTTTGTGAATTTTCTCTCGGCCAGGGAGTTCTGCATCGACCGGAACAGATGGTAATCGATGGTGCCAGGTCTGATCTGTGTGGCGGATGAGGCAGGACTTTCCAGCCCAATTCCTCAATTTTTTTCTAGAGTGATTTTCGCCACATGTGGATGAGCGTTGTCGTGGATAAATTTTGTCGACGTCGTTTCGACACTTTGAAGACGCAGTGCTGGATCCATGCGGTTCAACTGGTGTTTGCAGATGTCCGCCGTAACCGTCTGACCCGATTCCGGAACTTCAAAGTACATCAAACCTTTGCTATTCCACCAAACGGAGCATCACCTTTTTGCCGCGTATATCAGGTTTCGGAGTCCGTTTTGGAGGGTCACTGGAGTCTAACCACTGTCCTTTTCTCGTTGCGTTATCGAAGCAGACCCTTTCTGCTGTATAAGTCGAAAAAACCGCTGTTCTTGGAGCGACGAAGAAGAATTCCGGCCATTGCCACTCGTGTTGCCTTGTTTGCGTCGCTCAGCTGGTGCGGCACCGCTCTTCCCAACTTTTTTCCCCAAAAAAAGCAAAGTAGACATGGACAAAAATATATCAAAAGAAGCACAATAAAAATCTCTTTCTAATAGACAAAACTGTCTCCAAAAATCTTCTATAGTAGGAGAGAAAAAAAATGGACAAGTTCAAAAAATTCAACGCGCATTCCTTTCCGGACAACCTAATACAACACTATTCGCCTTTTGCGAAATTCCGCAAGCTTCAAGATTATTCTAACAACCAGAGTCTCTGGGAATATTCTAACGAATCCCAAACACTTGTATTCCCTTTTTATCAGCCTTTGAATGATAACACAGCATTTATCAGCAGAGTGCTCTGAAATGGGGAAGAGAACATCGATGACGAACCAGAACTCTACTCACCACTGAGTGAACGTTGTTTGTCTTATATGGATGTGGACTCTCGACCGTGACTTGGGTGGTCTTCGCTTCACAGACTTCGGAGTTTTGATCAAATGACTGGCTGAGAGTGCTAGTTTTCACGGTGCCGTTCACACTTGACACCATCGGTATCAGCTGCTCGAGAACACAAGCTATCTACAACATAATACATAACTTTCTGAACATTTAATTCAGAGGCAGGTTCCATCACGATAAGACATAAAAGATGGGGTCCAAACGTAAAGCTCCCGCTATTAGGAGTGGGATTGTGACTCTCAGTTAACGGTGGAAAGTTCCCTCGAAATATATAAGTCCATGAAGGACTAGATCATATTGAGAATTATGTTCAACTTTGCTTTCCAGTTTTACGGTGACTCTTGACACTATTGAAATCTGAATAGTAGCTTGTTAAAAAAACAAACCTCCATTGCCTTGTTAGGGTAGAGCTCCATAAAAACCATTACGTGCCCGGATATTCGTGAAATCAGCGACCTTGAAACCAAAATTTTATTCACATCAAATTAGCCTCTTATATCAGGCAGAGGTCGTCTTCAATGTGGGAGGTCTAGTCAACTAAATGTCCGGCTGGACACTGTCCCTGATAAGCTGGGCAGCTGGGCTATCCCTGATGGCGCAGGCCCAACATATAGCTAAACCCTTACAACGAAAGCAACCTTCGCCTTTGAAAGCGATACTGTATTTCACTGTCTCTTTTATAATTCTCCCTTTCAAAAGGATAGGATAGGAAGTAAATAAGGAACTTAAGGAAATCGCAGAAACTCACTTGGCACATTGTGGGATATGACCATTCACGAGAAACGCCCCGATTTTGTTGGACAAAAGCCGTAGAAGCAATACGTACGACTTATGCACCTGAATGTTCAGCTCACGTATATGAGAAATAGAACATCGTAACTGAAGAAGTATAATTGATATATATATTTATTTATGTTTATATTTATATATTTATATATATGTAAAAAGGGATCTACATCGAAAACTGGCGGCTGCGCACATTACGTGTTCGCCCCTGAGTGGGCGTGACCCGAGACTACGGTAGTCGAGCCCCTTTACGGTACCCCTTTACCGGATTACGGTACCTCTTTTCCCTTCCATGCCGATATGATAAATAAGTGTAGTCACATATATTTTGTATTCTGTACCACCACATACCTTCGGATACAAGCCCCGCGACACGTTATTCAATGAGTCAAGAAAGGCAACTATTGATGATGCAATTGAAGGGAAAGCGTTGCCTGTCTCTTTGGTTACAAATAGCTCACCTCTTCTTTCAGCTCTGTATTCTCTGATTTCTCCGTTTCCACTACAGAATACAGGAAGTATGGTATTTGTCCACGTTGCAATGAAGTGCCATTCTCACTCAGCGAACACGACGAGAATGTGACTCGAGCGCCGTTGTTCAAGCGGATATAGTTAACGCCTCCTTGAACAAAAACTACTTGAAAAATTTATAAAAGTCTCACAACCGTAGTATATTCTTGCTGTGATCCTTAGCCTTCCGAGATTGTTAAAGACGTTTATTAGACTAACGTTTCGGCGAAAATCGCCTTCTTCGGAGTCCTGTAAAGTCGGAAGCACATTATCGAGACACTTCACCCAAAACCAACATCACTTACAAAACAAAATCGAGGGTAGGGAATCAGGGAAGACTCGTAACAGACCTGAACTAACCCTCTCACTGATGTGAAATCACGGCATACTTTATTTGAGTTTCATATGACTCAGAGTGCCCGGTAGAGTTCCACATCAGTAAGAGGTGAGTTGTAGGTCCGTTACGATTTCGTTCCCTGATTCCCTACCCTTGATTTTCTTTTGTAAGTGATGTTGGTTTTTGGGTGAAGTGTCTCGATAATGTGCTTTCGACTTTACAGGACTCCGAAGGCGATTTTCGCCGAAACGTTAGTCTAATAAACGTCTTTAACAATCTCGGAAGGCTAAAGGATCAAGCAACAGTATACTACGCCTATATGCCGAGATTAATTGAAAGCCGATCATGGAATTTTCACAACCGTGAGCTCAACAGGCAGAGGCGGTAATAGTCTTCGGAAAAGCTAACAGGCAGCATCAAAATTTTCAGAAAAGCTCCCTAGTGATCTTCAGAGCTGATAAATTTAGAAGACGCCGACCCCTCAAATTAAACCTGACCCTGAGAAAATCCGCGTCTCCCTACTCTGTTTTAGAACGTTTTGTAAAGGTGTGACGGGGAGAATAACGAAACGAGGAAACCATAACATTGTAAGCCGTAAAAGTATAGGAGCTAGCGCTCTTAACAGTTCGTAAAGTATCAAGAAAAAAAGCCACGCATGAAACCACTAACGCAGGACGCAAAGTGACTCTCTTGCTTTAACCCCCTTGCGAGGAAGGAGTAGCAACAATCAGAAGGTACAACAGTCCGTGCGATTCGTCCTGTACAATCAGCGTAGAACGGGACTTGAAACATCAGGACCCAAATGGTACAATGAATTCTTAGGAAGACTTTCCTCACCTTCCCCACAGTAGGTCTTCCCGTTCTCCGGCGTCCATACCTTGATAGCATAGGTAACCCCTGCAGCCAGCGTGATCGATTCCGGCAAGAGAATAACGCCAGTGTCCGCCGTACCACCGCTGTTCAACTCACATGAAGTTTTTGCCAACAGGGAGAACTGATCACCTTCGCGTAGCACATAAATCTGAAAAAAACTAGCTTTGAAGAGATCGGGTTCGTAACACTTCCAAAGGTTATAAGAAGAGGGCTCGTAACATTTCCAAAGTTGAAAGCTCGTAACATTTCCAAAGTTGAAATTCAGAGACCTGTTCAAGAGATGAAGTATGGACAAACACCGTATCCTTGTAAAAACCTCACCTCGCACTGCCATACCCGCCTCACTTGTTCTGCGTGAAGATAGACACCAACCCCTCGAAGAGCGATACGTCCACCATCGACTTTGATACAGATCGCGTCCGTTGCGCCCTCGGACATGTCCCATGCGCAAACAGCACTCCGCCGTCGGAACCTTGAAACACGTCTTCTTTTTCAAGAGTTCAAGGAAGTTATACACGTTGTCTTCATTGAATTGTTTACAAGATACCCTGTGTCCGGTTTAAATACGAAGACTTATTAATTTGCAAACAATACTCTCAACACCTATTCATTAACCGCTAATTTCCTGAAAACACGAACTCGTTCCAGCGGTATAGACTAGAGGAGAGACGGACAAGCAGGCTACAGCATTGTGATGTGTGAAGCATTGACTTCCAAAATTTTTTTCTCCAAAACTTTCCAAAAAAATCTGCTTCTCTAAAATTTTGCTGTCAGGGGAGGGGACGCCACCGGAAAACAATTTCTCCCAACGCAGCAAACTCCTCTCAAAGCCCACGTTCGACCTCATCCCTCTCTAACAAGGAACAATACGACCTCCTCCCCTCCTCCCCAGCGACCAAGTACGACGTACTTGGTCGCTGGGGAGGAGGGGAGGAGGTCGTATTTGACTTAGTACGAGTATTTATTGCGTTGATTCGGCGAGTACGAGTATTTGTTTCACGCAACGATGCTGTACCCTGCTTTTGGTAACAAGTAATAGTGGAAATGAAATATTTCTCGATCGCTATTTAAGGCTATTCAATCTGCAGTTTCGAAGACATTCACTGGAAGTGATAGAATTTTCGCTACCTCGGGAGCCCAAGCAGCTTTTCCTAAGTCACAATAAGTTCATACGAGTAAACCAACTCCTTAACATTTCTGAGAAGAAATATATGAAGTGGCACATCTCAAGAGTACCTAATAATCATGATGTTTTCATTCTTCACCCTCGGCTTCAGTTACCAAAATATCCAAAATTCACCTGATAGATGACTGTACAATGGTGCTGGCAAGCGATTTATGTACATCTGGGATGGCAAGTTCTTTCGACATCTTCACGACAATATCCTGAGCGATGGTCGCCACGTTCCAGGGGTCCTATAATTGGCAAGTGAGCCATAACCAGTCCGTAGGAAAACATGTTGGAGAGAAACAAAACATTAACATTTTTGTTAGCACCCAAAAAGTCCGAGTCCAGAAAATTCTCTCAAGCTAATCTCTCAAGCTAAGGACTGAAAAGATAGCCAGCCGAAGTCAGCTGGATGTGCTATTAATTTTGCATCCGTCCTGAATTGTACTAGATTTTGGATTTTGAGCAACTTGACCCAATAACTTTTGGGGAACAGCCGATGACAAGTCATTACTTTCGTGCACCATACGAGCCCGGTGCCAATTAGCCAACCCCAGTGAGGTTTTATCTAGTTGGCCTCTTCAGGATTTGATCCGTTTTTTGGCATCCCCCGCCGAACACTCGTCCTAGAATGCTTGGAAACTCTGCTAATTTTGATGCTTTCTGGATAATTTTTGAGGCTTGGACTGCTCCTAGCAAAGTCAGTTCAGGACAAAGCTTCGGGATAAAATTACTGAAACTGCTGTATGGGAAAGTCTTAGTGTGCCCAAAAAGGAATTGATAACATCTATCAAAAATGGTAAAGAACCTGAATTAAGAGTTACTCACATTTGTTTCGAAAAACGACTTTTCGTACAAAAATCGCAGAACATTCGGCAGCGCCGTTAGCGTCTCCACCCTCTGGTTGTCCATAGTGAAGTGCTCGCCTAACTGTTTCGATAATTGCGGAAATCTAACAAAATCGGTTCTGTGAAGAAAAACGTCGATCAGCTGAAAAGGTCAGAATTAAATGATTTATATTCATGAAACATGTTGTGAGCCGTTAAACCAACTGACTTACCGTATCCCTTTTCGCGATGCTTCCGATCACAGCAGCAATCAAAGGGTGGCCGACCGGGCTGGAGATGGCCAGGGCCAGATGGCAAAGAAGAAGGTGGAGAGAAGGCATGAAGCACGATGAGATTCCGACAAACAGACCAATCGCCTCGCTCAGCACGATTGTGAGAGCGAAATTCTGAAATAGCCCAGTCTTTGGAGGAAAGGATAAGGAGAAACAGGTAAAGAAAAAGTGTTAGTACTACCATATAGTGCCATTTTCAAACCCCTCACCTCTTCCTGGACACAGTCACTCGACCGATCAAACATAGTCAGAAGAGCCGTGTGAAGAAGGACTATAGTATCGGCAAAGGAAGATGACGGTTCCTCGGTATCTCCAGTCGGACGATAGACTAGTAGGACATAACGACTAGAACAATTCAAAATTACTGACCAGAAAATAATTATAAATCGAACTGGCCGCTTCTCACCTCAATATCCGCATGACAATAAGCGCAGTAGCCGCTGCTCTTTCAGTATACCACAACCGTTGATCAACTTCACATTGTGATTCAAAAACCCGCGCCAGGGCCCAGTCCAGTACACGTAGAAGAGCAAGAAACGCACTCGGGGATACCGTGTCCATTGACGTGGACGAGAATAATCGAGAGTTAGCACTGAAAGTAAGGCAACTGTTAAAGATACAGAATAAATATTCGTAAGACTGAAGAGAAATCGATATTCCGACAATTGGTATATTTCAAATTAGTTTTAATTTGCTTTGGACTTATTATCTCCGACCGTCACATTTCTCTGAGAACTCACTTTTCTCTGAGAACTCGCGTTAAATGCAGGTGTTTTTTTCACAGTGAAATTCCACGCCCATAACTTAATGAACGTCCATCGGCGCTATTCGGCATGAGGGTTGAGTGAGGAGGTGGAGTAGGTACCTTCCTATTTCTCTTTTGGTTAGTAGTTCCTATGGAACTATTAGGTTGTCGCATAAGTTCATTATACACGACTTTTTTTGTAAATATCTCAAAAACGAAACCAGCCTGGTGAGATTAGAGGTCTGTGCACGGCACACCATTCACTACTTGACGCCACGCCCCCGCAGGCAGCTGTCCGATTCCATCCTTCCAGAACGACGGAGGCTGGGACTTGAAGAAGTCGTCGAGCGCCTTTCTGACCTGATCCTTTGTTTCGAACTTTTTTCCGTCCAGATAGCGCTGCAGGTGGCTGAACAGCCAGTAGTCAGAAGGAGCGAGGTCAGGGCTGTAGGGAGGGTGGGCGACCATCAGCCATCCGTACTTCTCCAGCTCGGCCTGGGTCGCCTTTGCAGTGTGAGGTCGGGGCAGTCTGGTCCATGGTGGAATGTAGATCTTCCGATTGTCTCTCTACGAGATACGATCGACGGTGATCTTTCAATTTCCGCATGACTGGGCTCACGTTATTGATGGAAGAGTAATCGGTCTGTCCCTTTTCACAGCTCGCAGTACTCAATGCCTCTTCTGCGACCCACAGGGACGTGAGAATCTTTTTATTGAGGGTGTGAAGGTCGGGCTTTGGGGTGGCTGTTCTCCTTTGTCGACCCACTGCCGCTTCCTCACAGGGTTATCGTAGAGGACCCACTTCTCATCTCCAGTGATCATCGAGTTGAGAAAGTGAAGCCTCTTTTGGAAAGTGAGGAGAGAAGTGCAGGTGGTCACCCTCCTCGAGAGGTCATAAGCGGACAGTTCATGTGGGACCCATCGACCAAGCTTTGCTACCTTGCCGAGCTTTTCTAGTCCACGTGCAACCGTCGAATGATCACAGCTAAGCATGGTCGCCATTTTTTAGTAGGTGAGGTACGGGTCCTCCTCCACGGTGGAACGTAGTACTTCCAAATCCAACTCCATCGGCCGACCCGACCTCGGAGCATCTTCGAGGAAAAGTCTCCTCTCTCTTCTTGATTGCGAACCAAATTCTTTGCAGGTCAATGTAGGAGATGCCGCTCTCACCGTATTATCCCCAAGCTCTGTATGGGCTTCTCTGCATCTCCACGCCGAATCGTGGAGGCAAAACGCAATTAACGGTTAGGGCGCATGTACCGTTTTGTCACCAGTGGCAAACGTGTCGACATTGTGGTACTTGCCAATGCAAAGCCTCTGGTGCTCAGTGATAGCTAAAGTGTAAGTGAAGAGAGTATAATGTATACGTATCCACACATTCCCCCTGATGAACCGTAATAGCAAGCCATCATGCGCAGGCAAATAGGAGACGGATCACAACCAGTTATAAGAACTTTATTGCGACAACCTAATACAGAGCTGCGGTAATGGTGATGGGCGGACACCAGGAAGCCGCATTCCACGTTGGTTGATGGGCGGGCCCAAGCCTGTTATTGCGTTCTCTCCATTGGCTCAAATTCAATCCAGTGGAACCCACAGTATGAAGAGTAAAAGAATAAGACATGATAAATTCCATAGAGTAGCAAGATTCATATTGAAATAACAACTCACTAATCCTCGGGTTTTTCGTCCTCGTTGGTCACACCATCACCAGAAGAGGAGACCACCTACAAATAGCTAAATAAGCAAGCTCGTTCTAGCATAAAACTCCAAAGAAATTCGAGTTGTCAATTCCTGGGTGATTTGGATTAGTGATGAAATGAGGTCTCGACTGAAGCATTGTGATAACACCCGCATTGGGAATGATTCCTTGACCCGCTCACTTGACAGCAATGAATGTGGTACTCAAATACCAGCCCACTCTTGTATGGCTGAAGTGAGACCTACCAATGTCTCTTGCTCACTGGGCCTTAGCATTCCTGCCCTTCATTATTGTTCAAAGGAAGGACAGAACCAGTGAGGAAGCCATAGTGACAGACCTTAATCCGCCCATCAGGAACTCCATCTTAATGAATGGGCTTTAAAGAGCTCGTAACGATCTAGTGCAATGAGCACACCACCGAGTAAAGGATCTTTCACTTTTACCAGGCGTACGTCGAGAGGGTATCATTCGTACCAGGACCCAAACCATTGGATTTGCTGCAACATGTTTCAAGCTAGTTCGCTTTCGTCGCCGCGAGGTCCCACACCGTTCCCCACTGCGAGCAACCGTACTCTTGTTATCAGGTTATCGTATTCCTGTGTTATATCCCCATAGATAAGCGCATAAGCATTCGGGGAAAGGCAAATAATGATCTTTTACTTTTAACAGACCGCCGTTCACACTCAACTCTCTCCAGTTGCAGATCTAATCACGAAGAACCTTAGAAAACCCCCAACGAAAAGATATCAATCAGTCTACTATACCTGGTAGTAGAGCTCTGGTATTTGCCCAACATTCACATCGGTGCCATTGTTGGAAATGGCCGAGTTACGGAATGTAAACGTGACATCATCACACTCAACAACTCGACGACCAGTTGCTCCACAGTCCGATGATGGTCCACTGGAAAAAAAACCTTCAACAAATCTACGAAGTAAAGGTGTCACAAGCTTCAACTCACGGCGGGCTGTCGCTATGCGTATATCTTCTTATTTTTTCATCTTTCTTTATTACTCTATAGCAGTAATAATCATCATCTTTATTAAATAAGAACTATTCATTTGAGGCGGAGGTGGTGTAGTGACAAGTGGCGCGCTCACCACTCGCGCGGCGCCGGGTTCAAATCCCGGGTCGACTCCCGCCCAGGCCAACCAAGCCTTCTACCCTCC